TAGCTGTATCAAAAGGTAGAGGAGATGAGGAGGGGAGAGGGGTTGCCCTGGATCCCACATCTGCCTTAAAGGATAAGTCTATGTTGAATCTCCTTTAACAGATCAACCATATTAAAGCATGGCCAGTGTGGATTGCATCCTTTGAAAAGATTGGTTCATTTTTCCTCTTAAAGCAATTGATTTGTATCCACAGCTATCTGGCACCCTTGATTGATTGAAACTCCTGAATGGTGCTGCCAAATGCTGTCTGTAAATCAGTGTGTGTTAATTCATTTTGAAATGGCCAGAGAGACAAAATTACTTTAATCACAAATATTTATTCTCTGTTCTGTTTTGTTTACTCAGCATGATGCAGCAGCAAAAATTCTGTTTTTCCTCCTTCTTTAAAGGCTAGCCCTAAATAATATATGATTTCATTTGCCTGTGATTTGATGCTTTAGCAAGACATCAGGATGTGATGGTAGTATAGATGACTTAGGCTAAAGGAAGCCATGGACTTTTCTTTTAGCCCAGGGCAAGAAGCAGATCCTTTAACATAACTTTATGAGTAGTTTGCTAATGGCCTACCAGTAAGACTTTTCACCAGATACAGAACTGTTGTGGCTACTGTTGTTGTTTTTTATAAATGTAATTTTGTATCTCGGGAGTCAGTTTTTCCTTAGCACAGTCATTACTAACTCTACCTTCTACTTGGTGAAAGTGAATAGAATGCTTCTTTATGATATCTTCTTCCATATTATGTGAAATAGAATGAACTTGGACTTTACTTATTCATGAAATGGAAAGACTATTAAATTTGCAGTCAAACTTTTTGTTTTTGAATCCTAGTTCTACTGTTCACTACCCATGTGGTACCTTACCACCCTAGACAAATAACTTGATCTCCGTAGGGCTGTTTCTTCATCTATAAAATGGGCTGGAGGTGGGGCTTGGTTTGGAATAGATGATTTCTAAGGCCCCTTCTAGGTATAAAGCCGTCGTCTTCCAAGCTGTGAATTAGAAACAAAGCTGAAACTTATCTTTGCTTAGCAAAACTTTTCTTGAGAGAGATTATCAATTAACAGGAAACAAGATATGGGGGAAGGATGCTGATGATGCTCAAAGATACAGGTTTTTCAAATCTTTCAGAGGGACTGATTTAGGACTGTGCTGGAAAATATTTAACAACTGGCCCTCTAAGAGGAAAGTTTTCGTACAACATATGTCTAAATTTAATTTGCATTATTAACATTTTCTCAATTGCTTTCTTGAGTCTAGGCCATCAACAAAACAATAAATCAAGCCCAATTTGTGGTGTTTGCTGATTCCCAAGGTATCAGTACTCTCACTGAGAATTTAACAATCAACTCTCACAAGCCAGTTCCAGCTGGCTCCAGAACACTCCTGGACTGATTTATGTAGGAGCGACTACCATTAACTAGTCCATGCTGTGTTAAACTAATTTGAATTACTACATGAACTTGAAAAATTGCATTTGTTTAAAGATGGTCTTGAATAAGGAGACTCCCTTTATCCACCCATAAAGATTTATTGGATCAGCAACTATTAAACATAAATAAGCCTCCAGAAAATTGTTGGTAATAATTTTTTTTTGGTCCATGCAGCTAGGTGGTGCAGTGGATAGAGTACTGGGCTTGGAGATAGGGAGACTCATCTCTCTGAGTTCAAATCTGACCTCAAACACTTACTGGCTGTGTAACCTTGGGAAGTCACTTAACCCTATTTGCCTCAGTTTCCTCATCTGTAAAATGAGCTGGAGAAGGAAATGGCAAACCGCTCTTGTATCTCTGCTGAGAAAACCCCAGATAGGATCGCAAAGAGTCAGACACAACTTAGCAACAATCTGGAAGGTGGATGGCAATATTCATCTGCCTAGTTGAATCTGGAGGAGATTATAAGGGAAGGGACCCAGGAAAGTAGAAGCTTAGTGGTGAAAGCCTGCCTCCTTGCTTTAATAGGCAAAGTAATAAGATCCATCAGTAAGCTTTTATTAAGTGCCTACCATGTGCTAGGCACTGGGGATACAGAGAAAAAAGAATTTTAAAAAAGGATTTTTAAAAGGAGTTTCTACTCCCTTGAGGGAGATAGTATGCTCACATAGAAGCATATATAAATAAATACAAGGAAATCTGGTGTGGAGAGGCAGCTATGAGGATCAGGAACGGCATCGATAGGAGAGTGCATTTGAACTGAGCTTTGATTTGGAAAACATTAGCAGGGCCCTGAGAATATAGTTGAATAGTTAAGTGGAATTGTTGTCTCCCTTCTACATCTCCTCCCCTTTATGCCCTCCCCCCACCCCCAATCATGAACACATACCTTGTTCTTTTCACTTTGGGTCAATATTTCTATCATTTCCCCAATTAATGGAGATGATAAGATTAGGTGCATCAAGAGGTTGGATAGAAGATTGTTCTGAAATCATGGGCAATCTTGCAGGAAGGATATAGGCTATGGAATATTCCAAGTCCTTAACAGAGACATGGCATTGACATAGCTAATGTCCTCAAGTGAACTTGTACACATCTAATGCCCAAGTAATGCAATTTAGATGGGAAGATTTACTTCCTTGTAGTCCCATTTCTATAAAGCCTGACATGATTTCTTAATTTACATAAATGTGCAAATGTGTTCAGTTTAATTTCTGTTCAACAGGTGTTTATTTTAGCCCTTATTATGGACTCGGTGCTACACTGGGTGCTCTGGAAAGATACCTATGGAAAAGGAGGAATGTTATCCCTACCCTCCATGAGCTTAGAGTTCTGTTTGACAAGACTAATCATAGAGGGAGGAATAAATAAATCCAACCTTTAACACAAGGTCATTGATTTTAAGTCTGTTGACTTCCAAGTATGTTTTAGGTAAGATGTTACATAGTTCATCTTCCTACAATGATAAACCAGGCATCTGGGATTCTGGTACTCTTTTTCTTTTGGATTAGAAGCTGGGTGGAAGGGATGAATTGGAGCATTTTTAGTCATTTACTTTTGTAAAAATATGATCCTTCAAGTCCCTTAGGCTCACAACCTAGGAGTCATCTTGGATTCCTTACTATCTCTTACCCCTTGTATCTAAGCTGTTGTCAAGGCCTGTAAATCTCTTCTTTGCAACATCCCTTGTATACATCCCCTTCTCCCCTCTGATACTGCCACCATTTTAGTGCAGGCCCTCATCGCCTCATGCCTTAATTATTCCAGTATCCTGCTGGTAAGTCAGCCTATCTTAAGTCTCTCCTCATTCCAGTCCATGCTTCTTTCAGCCATCAAAGTGATTTTCCTAAAGTGAAGGTCCTATCATGTCAATCCTTCCCCCCCTCCATAAACTCTAGTGTCTTTCTCTTAAATGTTCTCTTTGGCATTCAAAGCCCTTCATAACCTAGCCCCCTCTTACCTTTCTGGTCTTCTTATGTCTTACTCCTCACCACATACTCTTCTATCCAGTGACACTGGCCCCCTGGCTGTTCCATGAACAAGACACTCTATTTCTCAGCTCTGAGCATTTTTTCTGGCTCTCCCCCATGCCTGAATATTCTCCTTCCTCCATGCTAACTACTGTCCTCCCTGGCTTCCTATCAGTCCCAACTAAAATCTCACCTTCTACAGGAAGCCTTCCCTAACCCCTCTTAATTCTAGTGCCTTCTCTCTGTTAATTATCTCCTATTTATCCTGTATATAGCTTGCTTTGTCTATGTTTTTTTTTGCGTGTTGTCTTCCTCATTAGACTGTAAGCTCTTTGAGGACAAGAACTATGTCTTGCTTCTTTTTTGTAGACTCAGCACTTAGCGTAGTACCTGGCAGTTCAATGTACATAGTAGGTGCTTGATAAATGTTTCTTGATTGATTATTAGTTGATATCAGTTGAACAGCCAGATTTAGCTTTTAGTTCAGGATATTTACTAATGTGGTTTAGTAAAAAATAGTACAAAATATTTTCCCTCTCACCAAAATTGGTGACATAGTCTTTCATAAGTATATTCAAGGTACAAGGGAAAGCGAGTTCAAGATCAGAGAGTATGTGGCAAACTCACAACTCCTGGAAGTCCTTTTGCTGGATTCTTTACAGTGTTACCTTTAGTTATGGTGTGTCTTTCTGCTCAGCTCCTTGTCAAGTCCTGAAGCTGCTTTCCCCTTAGTGGAACTAGTTTGTCCTTGGCTCCTGGTGCCAAGGACACTATCACAAGTCACTGCTGTTCTGAGGATACTGCTAGGATGCTGATGAGAAGGCTAAATCTCTTAAGACTCTTAAAGCTCAGGAGGTCATGCTCTGGTCAAGACAGAGAAGGAGAAGACCGAAGTTCTCTCTCCTTCCTTCCTCCACCCAAGCCATTACCTGTCAAGGGGAGACTATTTTGTTGTTTTGTAGGGTTCCCACAAGCCATATGACAGGGTGAACATTTATTTGATTGATTTAACATAAATGTTCTCACTTGATAAAAGTATCAAGACTAGAGTATCTTATTAGCTATTTTAAGTGGAGGTGGAGTGATTGACTCAATCCACTTCAACTCTTATATGTAAAATGAAGGTGTTGCTTACTGTTTCTATATACAGGCTAATGCTCTTAACTTCCCGTTTGGCCAAGAAATTTCATTTTTATTCATTGGGACCCTAAGGACCCCAAGCATTACTTATTTTTCTGTGCTGAAACATGGAGGGAAGAAGTTCATGGTTTTCTTTCTTTTACTTGGGAAATATCCCTTGAAAACTATATTTGCATTAATCTTTCCATTTTGGGGAAGGAGGGCATGAGGATTGGATTAGTGGATACACAAACGTGTAGGTGAACTTGGCTATATGATTCATTATTAAATATGTGATATATGAATAAAAATAAAATAAAATGAAGGTGTTGAATGTTAAATGATCTCTTGGGTCCCTTCTGGCTCAAAATCTATGAGCCTATGATCCTTTGAATGTCTAGGTTTTCTATTTGTTATGATTATGATCATGAAGTATACAGATGGTGGTAATAAGTAACGCTCTTCTTTTTTGTGGGTTTAGGTCCAACCCGAAAGATGCCCCCCAGTTCCAGTGCCATGGACTTCTTCCAGCTCTTTGTCCCCGACAATGTTCTTAAAAACATGGTGGTGCAGACAAACATGTATGCCAAGAAGTATCAGGAGAGGTTTGGGAGTGATGGGGCCTGGGCAGAAGTGACCCTGACTGAGATGAAGGCTTTCCTGGGTTACATGATTTCCACGAGCATCTACCATTGCGAGTCTGTTCTCAGCATCTGGAGCAGCGGCTTCTACAGTAACAAAAGCATCGCCCTTGTCATGAGCCAGTCCCGCTTTGAGAAGATCCTTAAGTACTTCCATGTGGTCGCTTTCCGTTCCAGCCAGACAACTCATGGTCTCTACAAGATCCAGCCCTTCCTAGATTCCCTACAGTATGGCTTTGACTCTGCTTTTAGGCCTTCCCAAACCCAGGTAAGTGTGCCTCCTCCCCAAGGACAATTGGAAGCCTTCCTCGTCCACTGCCTTCTGCATTTGGATGCTTTTCCAACTTGTTGTGATTCCTTAAATAGGCTGTGCTCAGCCTGTCCTAGAAGCAGCAAGTATTAGGTGGGTATGGTGGGTGGGTAGTGCAGTGGTTAGAACACTGGACATGGAGTCAGGAAGACCAGGGTCACACCACTAGTAAGAGTCTAAGGCAGGGGGCAGCTAGGTGGTGCAGTGGATAGAGAACCAGCACTGGAGTCAGGAAGACTTGAGTTCAAATCCAGCCTCAGACACTTAACACTTACTAGCTGTGTGACCTTAGGCAAGTCACTTAACCCCATTGCCTAGCCAAACCAAAAAAAAAAAAAAGAGTCTAAGGCAGGATTAGAGCTTAGGTTTTTTTACCTTGAAATCCAGCACTCAATTTGCTATGCCACTTGGTTGCTTTTCAGAATAGAAATCTCCCACCAACAGACCACAACTCATCTATGACTTCGTATAGAAGTCCTAGGAAGCTACGTGAGGCACATAGGGATCATGACTTGTCCTAGGTCACACAGCAAGTATCAAAGATGGAATTTGAACCTGGACTCCGAACTCTATTTGCTATGCCATGCTACCTTACTCTGAAAGCAATAGGTTTTTACAAAAATCATTTATATTCAACTTTGAAATTTACTGTGATTTATTTTTTGGGGCAGTAGATAGGGGAGAGCAGACTTACCTTCCTAATTATATTTTGCTTAGTCTAAATTTAACATTATTTTGCATTCTTTGAGCATGCGCCAATTGGCCATTTGGAGATGACAGCTCAGAAGCTTCTGGGATAGAAGAGGGAAGTCATCTTGGGATTAGAAATATGCTATAAAAATGACTAATGGTTGAATATATGATGTATTTTCATGGGGCCACAAACAGAAAAACAGGGGATCTAGTGGTCACTGTTCACATCATAAAAATGCTATCAAGTGCACATGGAGACAACACACAGTGGTGTTCCTGATATGCCGGTCTCCTGGCTGTTCTCCAACTCTGTGTTAGCAATCCTCTGTATCTAGAATGTTTTCCCTCCTTACCTCTACCTCCTGACTTCCCTGGCTTCCTCTAAGACTCGACTTTTGCCATCATTGCTCTTCCCCTTCCCCCCCATTTCACTGCTAGGGTCTTCCATCCAGGGTTGCCTCCCATTTATTTTACTGTAAGAAGAAAATATCTCCCATTATACTGTATCTGTCTTGTATATACATAGTCATTTACATGTTCTTTCCCCCATTAGAATGTAAGCTCCTTGAAGGCAGGGACCCATTTTTGCCTTTCCTTATATCCTCTATGCTTGGTAGAGTGCCTGATACATAGTAAGCACTTAATGACTGACTGACTGACAACTTTTAAATTCAGTACCTGCCTTACAGAGATCTTTTTGTTGTGAGGGTTGGCTTTCAGATTCCTTTTCCTAGTGTAGACTAGCTGTCACTGCTATTGGACACCTACAAAGGCAGGGCAACAGAGGGCTTGGTGAATTGGATTTTGGGTGTGCATCTTCAGTTGTAATGAAATTGGCTAGAAAAAAGGGAGCTCACTTATTCCCCTGCTTAGGATACTTAGGAATCCTAAGAATAAAACTTTTTTTTTTCGGTAAGGCAATAGGGTTAAGTGACTTGCCCAGAGTCACAAAGCTAGTAAGTGTCAAGTGTTTGAAGCTGGATTTGAACTCAGGTCCTCCTGACTCCAAGACCCGAGCTCTATCCACTGCACCACCTAGCTGCCCCTATTTTCTTTTTACATATCTCCAGACAGTATATGATATAGAACCTTTTGGTGATACTTCCCAGTGTTTAGAGTCAGGAAATTTCGCATTTAAAACCCATTCTTTCTTGTCTTGTCCTAGATGGGAGCAAGAAATACAGGTCACAGTAGAAACTGACATCATTTCAGATCTTTTAGCTTTTCTTTTATAAAGTGTATTTAATGACCAATAAAGTTTTTATTAAGCACTTACTATAAGCTCTGGGAATATAAAGACAAGAGTAGAACAATCCCCACCATGTAGTACACCTATCCCTTCCACATCGCAATTTTCCCAATCGTGGTTTCAATATATCATGAGTCAGCATAAGAAATTAAATGAGAATTTTTGGAAGAGTGTTACAGAAGCTGCAGATGACACATAAAGGCCAGCACACAACACAGAAAAAGTTTAGAAATTAAGAAATGCATAAAATATGTGTATAATATTGTATAATATCAATATATTTTATCTTTTGGTACCATAATAATTCAAACTTCTTCTGGTATGAAGGGAAGGCCAAAAAATTTTACATGGATTTTACAGATGGGGGGGCACACCATTGCGTCCCTAACTGTCCCCCATGAAGAAGGCATAACTGTAGTTTACATTCTACCTGAATTTAAATTACAATTAGAAAATAAACTTTTCTCAGCCTTGTCTAATTTCTCCGTTCTCTAATACTTTACTTTGAATGATCTGTGATTTCTTTATCATCTTAGGTACTTTCCTCACTAAAGCAAATCACTAATTTGGGAGTGATTAGGAGACTTCCTAATCTTTTATGAGTTGCTCTGGCCCAAAAGTTCATTGAGTCAGAGCCATTCTTGTGGTGATGAGCCTCTCTGACTTAGCCAGGCTGGTCATAGGACATTGGACACATAGACCTATTTCAGTTTGTTTGGACCCATTAGGACTTGTGTTCTGCTGGCACTGCCTTGGAGAACCAAAGGTCACCTCCCCACACCATTCAGAGCAGGACTTTAGTGTATGTCCATAAAGCCTTCCACTACTTATTAAAATACATACATGATGTAGGTTATACACGTTCAATCATATAAAACATATTACCATATTAGTCATCTTGTAAAAGAAGACACAAACCCAAAGGGAGAAGAACATGAAAAGAAGATGAAAAGTGAAAAATAATATGCTTTGATCTGCATTCAGACTCCATCATTTCTTTCTCTGGAGGCAGAAAGCATTTTTCAGCATGAGTCCTTTGGAATTGTCCTGGATCATTGTATTGCTGAAAATAACTAAATCATTCACAGTTGATCATCATACAATATTGTTGTTACTGTGTTCAATGTTCTTCTGGTTCTGCTCACTTCACTTTGCATCAGTTCATGTAAGTCTTTCCAGGTTTTTCTGAAATCTGCCTGCTTATCATTTCTTATAGCACAGTAATATTCCATTACGATCATATACCACAACTTCTTCAATCATTCCCCTCAATTGATGGGCATCCCTTCAATTTCCATTTCTTTGCCACTATCTGCTAATAACTTTAAACCCAACTTCTGTTATCTGTAACTTGAATGAACTTGGGAAAGCCATTTCATCTCTATGACCTCAGTTTTCTACTTTGTAAAATAATGGAGCTGAAATTGATGGTCCCCAAGTTTGCTTCCAGCTCCAAATTGTGTGGTAGTGATGAGAGATTTATGGCTGAGAGAGAGATGCCTTCTAGATGGCATAGCAATTCCTGATTAGTTTGGGGTTGATGAGTGAAGAGGAGGGTAAGTGTTGGTTGTATTTCTCTCCCACCCTAGGGTAATTCCAAAGAAATCTCTAAAACAAAAGTTAGGTATGGCTCACATCTAGGTTCTCTTCCTAACAGATGAAAGAAAAGCAAGGACAAGAGACTTGTGTCCTGGGGAGGGCCTAGCCCAAGCTGGTTAACAAGCATATTCTTTGGGGGCTGAGAGTGATCACTTTACCCAGTCACACCCTTCAGCAACTCTCTTCCCTTTAGAAGTGGAGTCCTACAAAATGAGCAAAAGGATGGATCACAGAGTCATACTGGTTATTAAACAATACAACACAATGTTAATTTTCCTTAGGAAGAAAATGCTGGAAAAAAGTCCCACCAGAGAAGGACCCCCAGAAAGAGGTGGAATCCTTTCTTCTTGACCCCTGTATAAACCATAGAGTAGACAGCTCCCCCAGACTCAATCACCAGTCATTTTTGGCAAATCACCCAGTCATGGGAACTAGTCGGACATTTCTATGTCATTTCAGTAGAGAACAATGCCCTCAGTAAGAAGGTTGCAGTCACCCCTCCTATATACTATGATCCTTTGTGGTGATCTTTGCAGAATCCTAGGTAGGAATTTTGGAGATTTCTGGAACACTATCCCATGAGGTAGAAGAGAATTGTCCAGGGTCATATAGCCAGTATGGGTCAGTGGCAAGTCTTACTGACTTCAAGGCCAACAATATGGCTTTTTTTCCTACTAATATTTATGAAACTCAGTAATAGGCCCCTGAAGAGATCAAGGATCAATAAAACATGATCCTTGACCTCATGGAGTTTACAACTCAAACATTTTCCTAGTAGTAGCACATTCAAAACTCTAGACATACAGACTCTTCAGGAAAAGATGCCAGTAGTATGCTAGAGGTGAACTAGGAGGGAATGTTGATGAATCTGAATGAAAAAGATTGGATAAGAGCACCCTCTACTTTGCCTTGGTTCCTTACTGTGTGTGTGACTGTGTGTGTGTGTTTTGGAGGGAAGGGAAGGGAACAAGAATTTCTTTATTAAATACCTATTATGTACTAGGCACTATGCTAACCACTTTACAAATATTCTCTTAGAAGGAGTGGGAAAGTAATGTGCTGAGAATTTTGGGCTTTTTTCTGTCTTTCATCTTTTTTCTTCTGTATTTTTGTATTTTCTTCTGAGAAAAAAAATATATATATACTATGGGAAAGAATGTGTTTGACAAGTCGGGTTTATTTAAAGAAGTCCCAGGTTGTCAAATGTTTCCATTCATGTTGTCTATTTCTTTGTTTCTTTTTTCTGAAAAATGGATTTTATTATACCTTTTGTTTTCCCATCACCTACATTTTCCCTCATCATGCTCCTTTTCCCATGGTGTCTATTTCTATCTTGTTTGCAAAATGTTATAGCCTTGCTTTTTAGTCCTGTAGTGAATGAGTTAGATGATATATCCCCCATCTAACAGATGAGAGA